TGATCTTCTCTGGACTCAGAAAGCCGATACGCCGCTCGTATCGAATAGTCGGTACGTCATGGCCCTCAACTGTTGGATTACGTAAATTAGGATAAGCCTGTGCGGCCATCCGAGCATTATTTATGTTTAAGTTGGCAAACAACCGATTCACCGATTCGTTGATCATGTCGCCAATGCGATCATAATTAACGCCTTGCTGGTTGCGTTTGTTATTACGGGGACGGGTTCCGGTACTTCTCGCAGTATGTGTTGTATTTTCCTGTAGAGAGCTCAACTCCAGCAGATTCATGGGTGCAGTTCCGGGGTTTCCCAAATGGGCGTTCGTGACATTTTCTCCAAGCCGCTCAGGAATATCTGTTTGGTGTACTTCCTCATACAATCTACGCGAACTTCGCGTATTATACCGTTGTTGTCGCACAGAATTGCGAGCGTCCCTTCTACCAGTAGCAGAAGTACTAGCCGTATTGTCATTAGGTCGGCTCTCGGGGTTGATGGGTTGTAAATCTCGTTTATTTACGCGTTTACGGCAAACAGGACAGTCAGGTGAGTCGGTTACCCAACGTTCGATACACGGCTTGTGAAAGACATGATTGCAACAAGTAACCCAGCAATCATTTCCATTGGGCATTTCTTGCAAGCAAATTGCGCAAGAGCAGGCGGAAGCTTCCGCTGTCATACCCGCCAAGTTTTCGGTACTTCGTACCATAATCGCCATATTTGAAAGTTTGAATAGATTGCCAAACTGACTCAGCTTAGGGGAAAAATTATAAAAATACAATTGAACCAAAAATTGTGCGAAAACTTAATATGGTCCTTTGTAGACTCAAAATCAATTGAAAACTTATTTACTGAATGTTATTCCTTTTGCACGGTAATGCGTCTGGGGTCGTTTAAAATCAAAAGACAATATTTTGCTCACCCTAACTTGACCTCCCATTGAGATCACGTCTTCTCAACTAAATTCTCCGCCTTGTGTAACTAGCAACCGGTCAAAATTGGCAGTCTTCCCACTAATGGGTAGCCAATTATGGTATTCCAAGGTAGCAGTATCTGAACCATCGAATTTTAAAAAAATTTAAAACACATTCTAAAAGTGGGCATCTTGATCACCCGGGGTTGAGCATTTAGGACTGCAATGCCTAAATCTCAAATTCCAATCCGGGCCAAATGCAACTTCGATAAGCAAATCAAATAAATTGGCCTTACGGTTGATCCCCAAGATTGAAAAACCTTAGCAACAATTCCAGGTAAGGACTATTTTAGTTGCCAATAACTATATATGGACGATTGGAGATTACGACAGAAAACTAATTAACGAAAAGAGTCTCGATTCAAGCGGCAGAAGGTTTCCGGGCCGATATGCCTGAAATCCGAATTCCTATAAGCAGGAAACTCCATCTGTCAATGCCGGAACTTTGTCCAATCACCAATCCTGCATATAATTAAATAAATATCTGAAAAGCAAAATTATATAGATTGTTCACCATTGAAAAGAAGCGCTATAACACAATAATTTCCTAAAACCTTGACCTACACGTTCTCAAAGCGAACTTGGTGAGCCTTATTTCACCATAGAAATAAACCTCAGCAAGTTAAGCATCATAATTTGGGACTGGCTTGCGAGATTATTCGTAGTAGGATTAACCTATTAAGTTTCAGTAGCTTCGGCCAGGGCCCCACGTTGGGCGCCAGTTATGTAATGAGCTATTTTGGGTAGCAAAAAAAAAAAGTTGTGTCTTCGCGTTCTGGGAAGGACTATGTCGGGGCGGGACCCTTCAATAAACTAGCTAGCAGCCGGGTGGGGGAGTTCTTGACATAGCTTCTTCCAGTACCCATTACAAAACAATGATTTCAGAGTCCCGGATTACTCTACTAATTCGAACTGAAATTAAACACGGTGTTCACATAAAACTAACTGCCACGGATCTTACTTATACGTCAAAATCAAGGGAAAGTCAAGAGTATCCATAGATGGAATTAGATTGCGGGTGCTTGTCTTCGCCCTCCCTTCCAATGATTCGGGTAGCACTTCATTTTTCCCCAAATCCCCAGTGCAACTTTAAACGGCCCACATTACCAACAAATAAGAAAAGCAGTTAGCACATTCTGATGTACAGATGAACTTACATATTTTTTCTACCAAAAAAATCGTATACTCTAAGTATTACAGAACTATACTATGAATAGGAGCGTTCGAAATTCAAATTTGGAAATACAATTTAACTCCAATTATTTCAATTAATTATGAACTATTCTTTTTGTTAAATTATCTAAATATAAATCTGCTTAACCAGTAATTAGGGTTGATATGTACAGTTCGCCGTTAATTCGGAAAAAAAATATCGCATGTAACTTTATTTTCTTTTCTCGCATCACATTATCACTATTAGTGTGCTTCTGTCTATTAACATAACGCAAGGAAAATTAACATGCTTACTAAAAAATAACTAAAACTATGTTCACATATCAATATTATCTCGATCAAAGCTCGTTTTTTAATCACCCCGTTTACACAGGCAAATCTCAGATTATTAGCCGTCAAATTTGTTGTTGCTTGTTATTCTCACATTTCAAGGAAAAGTTATGTTTCTTCTCTGTGCCACCGTGATCACGTTTTTCTGCTATAATAAGCAATATGAATATATTTTAACTTAACATTTTATTAAAAATACCTTTACAAACCTCTTTTACTTGCTAGCGTACATTTTTGTTTACTTTTACATTTGGCATTTCTTCTCTCTTTCGCAAAAACAATCGATAAAACTAGGATGGACACCGAAAAGTTATCGGTTAAATCTGAGATTATTTTATAATTACAGATTACCAAAGGACGAATTTTATATGGCTAATCTCTTGTTATAATTACAGATTTTGGTGTTAAGCTCGAAAATGAGGATAATCTACTTATATGTGAACCTAGTATAAGTGAATTTTGCAATAGCATATATGTAACAACAAAAACTGGTTTTAGAATTCCGCCCCGTTGACGCAAAGCAAGGTGTATGTACATACGTGTGTTCGTCAAACTCACTGAGAGGACAACAATAGGACGGCTTAAGCAGAAACCAAGGCGCATCAATTACAGGTGATATCGATAGAAGCTATGCTTCTTCTTATAAGCACGCTTGTGTCAAATTATCGTCCGTTTTGCTTTGTTTACATGTTCGCGTATACATACACATATACGTAAATATATACCCTGCAAACAAATGCTACCGAAATCTTTGAGAGTATCGGAAATTTGTTACGATTCTTTTAGGAATCTTTAAAGAAAAACATATGAAGCGGTTGACAAGAACTAGTAAAGAAATTTCTGTACGATTTCTTAGAGAAAATCCTTAAAAAAAATTGTGAAACCTTTCAGAGTTCTATGAAATCCTGGTATGCAGGGTATACATATACATACGAATGCGAATACATAAAGAAGATGTTGATGACTCAAGGAGTTCATACCAACGGTAAATGTTGTTTTTGTACGATTGCTACAACCTGTAGTTCTTGAATCATGAGCAGAAACAAGGTACATCATGAATGGCAACAAAAATATAGTCGGCGGCCGACTGTTATACGCTTGGATTAAGTGTTATACGATTGCCTGCTTAGCTTACGCCGACCCTACAACAACCACGTAATACACAGTGAGAAGGAGAAACAACATAATGATTTGGATTAACATTATCTCCGGCTAGGAGAAATTTAACGTGACATACACATACATACATATACAAATTTCTGAATTAGGAATTAAATGACTTACCCACTCATCCGGAATCGCTGAAAGGCCTTTCGTAGAATTCCTGGTGGTGTTGGCGAAGATCTGCTAGGGTGGTGGTGATTTGATTGCACTTTTGATGAAATTTACATGGGTGTATATATGTATGTTTGCGTATATATAAAATTTTGTTTTAGCATGACCTACTGTAATTATATCTACATATATATATATACACGTATAGATCTATATATATACATATATATAAT